GGTAATAATAACATTATTAGTATGAGGAATAATGTTATTCTACTAAATTTAAGAAATGGACTTATGAACACTATCTCATCGGAATGATTTGATTTCTCCAACCACACTATTAGAGAATTGTGGTTCCGAATGGAGGAATGAGTTTGGTCAAGAGGAAAGGAAAATTGTCTGGAAGGGAGTAATGACTAATGAGTCTGAGTCTCTGTTCTAGAGCAAAGGAAAACCCTCCACCACCAAACAGAGGAAGTCAAACATCCGCTGTGAGTTCTGGGTTTTCACGTACGCCCAAGGCAAAGACAGTCAGGAAGAAGAGAGATTGCCAACCCATCGCAGCACTTGCTTGTTTATGCGATTTGCGAAGCTCCTTGCGACCGTCGAGTTCTTGCTCTGCAGACTTGCGCCTGCTACTGCCAATGAATTAGGTCCAGTTATCATTGACTTGTCATTGCCATTGAAGCAGCTCCTGCTTCTTTCTTTCTTTTTTAAGCTTGAGGAAGATAGCGATCTGAGACAAGGGTGAGTACCAGTGGACAATATAAATCACAAGGACTGACTGTGGGCCCCATGTTTAGGGGCCATGGTTCACCGTTCACAAATTAAATTAATTATGTTTAGTTAGAGTTAGTAGATGATATTTACAATTCATGTTTCAAAGTTCGTTTTCAATCCCTGTGATCCAAACCCATTCCTATGTTTTTAATGTATTTTTTGACCCTCTTTCTTCATACCCAATTCCTGTGTTCTTTTACCGTTTCTTTGGTTTCAATCCTTCGTTCTAGAGCCTCTTTGGAGTAGATGAATGGACTAAGGCCAATCGAAACACACCCAATCGAACTAAATCAATCTACTTTATCTTTTTACTTACTTGTACCTTAACATGTTGTTCATCTACCAATCTCCACTAGTGTTTTTAAGGTGTCGACTAGGTGATGAGGTGCTCGCAGGAGGCAAGCGTCCCTGACGCCTAGCCAAAAGCACTGAGAGAGTCAAGGGGATTGGGAGCATAAGGGCAGGGCCAACGTGGGCTAATGTCTGTAGTGGTTTCAGTTAAAGAGATGCCACGTTGATAAGGAAGCATACAAGGAGCAACCCACAACAGAGCCACTCTCTGCTCCCAATGCGTGTTCCGGTGTAAGGTAAATGGACCATCGGCTCATTTAGTTTGAATTTTGGTTTTTGATAATCAACAAGACTAAATTGAACTAATGCGTTTGCAAGTGTTTGTTTTATAGTTCAATAGGGTGCAAATGTGATTTGGACGAAGATGACGTGGTGATCCGGATAATCAACACATCAAGCAAGACATTAGAAGCAACATTGAAGACCTAAAAGACAAGCAAAGTCTAAGGCACGAAGGATGGAATCAAGCTGGATGCAAGAATCATACAGAAGCAAGTTGAAGGGTCTTTGCAGGCATCGGACAAGATCAGGAGCATCGGACACGTCACATCGGACAAATCCGATGATTGACCCTAAGCATCCGGCGACGGCAGAAGGGTGTGATCGCCTCTTTTTTTTTTTGTCAGACCAAACCACCATGCTTTCTGTAGGCTACTCTGCCACCTTGCGAGACTACTAACTAGTGTGACATGGATACTTAGTACTAATGTGGACTCTAGGGCGGCACGCCATGCTGGCGCGTTGGGCAAGCCCTAATAAAAAAAACGATAGGGAGAAAAGCCGTGGAGTCGGCTCCTTTCTCATCCCTACCAAATTTGGCACCATCGGTCGCCACGCAGCGTCGCCTAGGTCATCTACGGCAACGGCAGTACTGATCCAGAAGGGGATCACAACATGATCAGTCTAAGGGAGCAGTGAGAAGGAGAGGGAGCAGAGTAGCGAGGGGTAGCAGTGAGAGGAAGGAGAGGAGCATAGGCCAAGCTACATGCGCACGAGCAAGACCGCAAGAGTAGTGCAAAGGGAGATGAGGCAGCACTGCATCCGTGATTCTAGGTGATCTCTTCAATGAGACATCTCTACATGAGTAAGGCATAAGACATCGCCCTGTTGGCTTGCTTATAAGCCGTACTTTTTCAGCCAACGAACAATATTTTTCTCTCACAACAAATCAGCCAACAGTATTTTCAGCCATGGCTTATCAGCCAAGCGAACATGACCATTGTTAGTAAAAGGTACATGTCCTTTTGACATAGAAAGTGAGAACAGTTGCTTGGTCCTTTGAAGACAAGCCATCCTTTGACCACCCTCTCCACCACTTGACCATTTGTTCTTTCATTTAAAATCATACTTCAACAAAAAGTATCACAATTCTCTTTTGCTCTAGACTTTTCTCACTTTTTTTCTTTTCACCAATTTTCTTGTTTCTTTATTTCCTTTTTTATTCAGGGGTGTGCAGGGGGGGGGGGTAACAAGATAATATATATAAATACATATATATGAATACGAAATCAGAATCACAAAGTAAGGTAAAGACCACAAAATTAAATAGACCAACACGACAGATGATACCCCGCCACAAAATTTGGATTGAATGGGTCAGTTACATATTCCCTACCAGTTTAGTATGCACAGCATAAGTTTTTCGACAAGAGGCCTCGATGGGACATACGAGAGTTTGATGTTCATCGAGCTCATAACAGAATCCACAAAGCTGATTTCAGCAGGAGCTACAGACTACAGAACTAGCATATTACCGACCGCTTTCAGCACGATGCTACCCCCAAAATGAAGTGTACAAATAACCTAGCACCACTCACAGTTTCCGTGAACAATGAGATGATTAGACAGTGATTACCTAGAATGTCTCCACTCTCCAGTATGCTTTTGAACCCATATTTCTTTCACCATTCTTTTTTCTTTTTACAGTCTTACTGTGCTGCCCTATAATTAATAAATACCAAAGTTTTCAAAAGGTCTTCCAATAGCTTCAAATGTGATAGATCGATGAAATAGCTGAGCCACCAAATCAAGATTCATAACACCAACTCGTCCGGATAGCAGTAGCCTGTGGGAAAAATCAGATTAACACACCATTTTCTTAAAAAAAGGGATACCAAGGGACAAACCAATGAATAAAAACTAAGGAGACAGGGTTCTTAGCAAAAAGCAAATAGGTTATAATCAAATAAAACCAAGAGTGGAATGTCCAAACTACAAGTCTCGTGCCATGCATCAAACAAAAAAAAGAAGTGTTGTGCGCCAGAAAAAAAAGGGCTCCATTCCATGATTCCATCCATCTCTAGTTATCTGTAGTCTTGACTGGCCCACATGCAGTGAGACAAGCAATTCTATACGGATGCTCAGCTGCCAAGATGATTGAAAAGCCAAAAACGTGCATAGTTCCCCTTGCCAGCCTATCAGCAGCCGAGGCGTCTCACTGCTTGTGAGCTAAAATAACAGATCCCATAACTGCGTGGGGGCAAAGCAAGGAGATAAAGGAACTTGGATGGAACCAGGTTTCATGGGACAATCTTGCACACTAGTAGTTGTTTCATGTCAGTGGACTTCTAAATCAATTTTGGCAGTTAATAGGCTAAGCTCACATATGAGATGACCATGTTAACATTAGTGTATCACATACAAATAAAAATACATAAAACTAGAATCGATACTTATTGCACCACGCATTGACGGCAACGTGTTTCAACACACCAGCAGGAGGTTACCCACAATATCTATCCGGAATATATTTTATGGAACAGCCTGAACTACAATGTGGAGGCAAAATAAAGGGGCGCTACTGCACTCATAAAACTGGAGATAGAAACACACATACCCACACAAAGTACAAACCAACATTGCTATTTAACCTGATGTAAATAGAAGTTAAGCTAAGGGAGAAAGATTTTGGTTAGTTGCTACTGAGTTACTAAATACTAGACACTAACCATTGGTGAGCTTAAATGATTAATCCCCATACTATACAACTATAGAAGATGCATACCACATTGTTGATAGAAGTGAAGATCATACAGGCTCAATTTTAACATGATAAACCTATATGTAAGGCAGGTCTTGGGCATTGGACAAGCTAAGCACAATGCTGCATCAAGCCTACTATGTCACCTCTGGCAAAATTCACATACCAATCATTGTACCCTGACTTATGAACCAAGGCCCTGTTTGGATGCAAAGTATTTTTAAAGTATCGGAGAAATACTATGGTTTTACATAATACTTTGGTTTTTAAAAGTTACTGGGTGTTTGGATGCAACCAATCTTGTAGTCTCTAAAACCATGGTTTTGTCAAAACTGTAGTCTTTTTAGAGTTTTAGAAACTTCACTCATGACCTCTCTTTTTCTAAACCACGGTTTTGTGTCTCTTTGGTTTATAAAACCAGTTTTGTGATACTACAGTTTTTGAAAACCGCATCATCCAAACAGGCCCTAAAGGTAATATAAGGCTCATGGAAATAATTATTAAGGAAACAAAAAAACTATCATCTAAAGTGAATACAATGTAATGTTATCGATTTCCTTGTATTATGAGAACTTCACAGCCAACCCCTATCTGATAAGCATCCCTGCCTATTGATCTGCAGGGGTGTGTGGGTGGTTAAACAAGCATACATGCAGATGGGCCACTGCATAATACCAGGTAAGTGATAGTATTGATACTTATAAGATTATGGCATACTTTGCTAACATCAGTTATTTCCTTTTCACAAACTATTTGGCAGATAGACAAGTGAAAAATCAATGCTGAAATCCTGCACTAACAAAGTGTTGATGTCCTAGGACGCACTCCCTCTGGTAAAAAAAAAAGTTTTGGAATGCATGTAAGCAACTTTTAATTATTGGTAAGAATATCTTCATGAATATTTCGACTGGACTTATGAAAGATAGTGGACACCTTTTTCACGATATTATACTTTTACTGATTTTACAAATATATTGCAATTGAGGTTCATAAAGAGGTTCCTAAAGAAGCTGTGTTTTGGGATTGTGCCGTTGTTCAAAACACCTAATTTAGTAATCAGCAATAAAAACAACTTAAACATTTTAAGAACAGGTTATTTCCATATTCAGTGCAACGTACCTCATTGTGGAATGTCAGAATCTGAGATAACATTCCTTGTGGAACGACGTTCAGGAGGACACTCATCATTTGATGATAGAGAGGAACTAGAACATGAAGCTTTGGAAATTCCAACTGGAGAAGTCTTTGCATTTTCCACAGTTGAGATGGATTTATTACGAGGAATGGCTACTGTAACAGATGTAGCAAGAGATGATACTTTCCCAACAGGGCTTGGGGACTCAGATGATATGCTTTGAGTATGGCCAGAGATACTGGAGGCCCTCACAGGAACTGAGGTATTCTGAGGTCTAGAATGGTTATTTGAGCCTGGAGATGCTGTCAACCACATAAATCGTAGTGTGTGTCCTTTGCAAGATTTACCACCAATAAATGCTTTCTCAGCTGATTGCCGCGTTGTGTAAGTCACACAAGCCGAGCAACTCAGAGAAGGTTTTAGGGTTGCATCATGGTTATGGGCTTCAGTATCTTCCAGGACAACTGACGAAAGCTCCCCAAATGATGAGAAATGGTCTGCCAAGACAGATTCCTGTAAATGAAAGTGGTACGCATCAGAAACAGAATGAAACAGCTTGTAATCAAACACATGAACACAAAATGCAGCATGAGAACATATTATCCTTTGAGTGCCTTTTTTATGCAAAAGGAAAGGCAAATTATTTTATGCAAAAAAGAAAGAAAGAAAGAAAGAAGTCACTGGTTGCGTAGATGTAAGACTGATTTTTATCAGCGCCTCGTTCCACTAAATGTAGACGAGACTGCAACCTCCAGTTCATCAAATAGGTAATGCAGCAGTACATTATTATTGTTCAATTTTTGTCATTACACATAGCTAAAGATGTTAATAGTTACACAGTGGCATAAAAGCATGCAAATCCGTTAAGCTAAGAATAATAAAAAGCAAACACAATTAGGTAATTCTATATGATAAATATTGCTGTAGATACATGGTCTCATGTATTATGTACTTACATCCATCCATGCCACGATTGGTTTTAAACTTTTAACAACACAACAGGACCTAAAAGATATGTCACCGAAGGTTGACAATTTTAACAGCCAAGATAGAACTACTCCAATATACAGGGCCATTAGCAATCCAGGGGTACAAGTGTGACTTGCTCAATGCTCATAACATGAAATGGAACTACTCCAATATACGGCTCACATAAATTTTACAGCACCACATGATAAGATCCTGAATGTGACACAGGATCTTGCAGACATATATCAGAAGCAAGAACATTGCCTTCTCATATCAATTTTGTGATGGTAAGGGTGACAAAAGTTCAGTTAAGAAGTTCAAACAGTAGGTGGTCACTATCCACAATTCCATGTATAGGTCTATCACCAATTTTGACAGGGGGAAACATTGAACTGCACAAATAAAATCCCGCGACAATAGTGCCATTTTTTAATGGTTTCAGTATGTCAAGGAGTGGCAGGTGGTTGGATGTAAAACTTACATTTGCAATTTCAGGTGGCAAAGGTGGAAGAGTTCTGAATGATGTGGTTCGATTGTCAAGCTTAAACCTATTCTGAGGAGGTGCTGGCAGATTAGTCTGTTTTGTAACCACCGCTGATTTCTGCGTGGATGTCGCAGCAGACTTTTGAGAGCATGAAGCAAACTCTCCAGAACTTCTCTTTTCCAATGAACCAGCAATCTCCAGTGCCCCTTCAGCCCTCATGGACCCTGCATCCTTTACTTTTGATGCATCATTAGAAGCAATTTCTTTTCCACCAGCCTCTGCATGCTTAACTGAATTTGCTGAACCTTTCTGCAACATAATTGTTTACTTATCAGAAATCAGTAACAGAAACAGCTAAAAGTGCAATTATCATAGGCAAAAATAAGCATGAACAGTCAGCCTGTTCCTCCTAATGAAAGTCAGTTCACCTAACAACCAAAATAATACAATAAACAATATGAATTCATGCTACTAGGGAAACCAGTAATTACTTGTTTTGCAAGTTTCTCTAACTGGCGGCGGAACTCATCACGCTTCTGAGCTAAGATCTCTTGTTTTTTACGTAGTTCTTCCAATAGTTCTAGACTTTCTTGCCTTTTTGGAGCATGGGGTGGTACTGGTTTTGTATTACTTGCTGGCAGCATTTTAGAACCTGGTGTACCAGAACTCAACGGTTCAGCAGAAGATCCAGAACTGGGCCTTGGAGCTGTTGATTGAACATTTTCCTTGACTCTGTTGGGGAAAGAATTAGCCGGTGTAGTAGACAACTGGGAAGACTTTCCAGAGATTCTGCCCTCTCCCACATCCAGAATTCTATCTCTGTTGGCCCACCATAGCTTTATAAAGCGGTTGCCCATAACAGCATCTGGAGCTTTTAGGGCAGCTTCAGCTTCTTCCCTTCTCGAGAACTGGACAAAAGCTTTTTCACTGTTAGATGGAATATAAATATCTATTACTTGACCAAACTTCTGAAAATGCGATAGAAGGGCGTCCCATCTGTTGCTTTCTTGGGGAATTCCATGTACATATAGTGTACGGGATGCTTTCTGAGAAGCTCGATTACTTTGCAGGCCCACATCTCCATATATTCTTGAATTGGGTTGACCATTAGTATCCTTAGCAGCAGACTTTACTTGGCCCATGCTGAGAGCCATCTCATCGTAATCACTTTTTTGGCTTCCAGTGATACTTGTTGACGTAGTTTTAGCTGTGTTACTACCTCCTGGTTTTCTTTTTGATGCTATTCGCCCCCAAACAGAAGACTTCGAACTCTGAGAACCATCAGAAGCAAAAACCTGGTTTGAATGCTCCTGCCCCATTTCATAACCATACGATTCAGAATTCCAAACTCCAACATCTTTATGTACAAAGCCAGTACACGATGCTTCTGGGTGTTCATTGTTCCAGAGAGGCTGATCAGGATCATATACATCAGCATCAGCAATGGCTGAAACAGCACTTCCATTTGGCTTTAATGCATCAGTTGCTACACCAGATTTCACATCTTTTACAAGAACGCTTTTACTCCCTCCAAGGCTTGATAAGTTAACAGAACTGGTTCCTCCCTCATTTGGGATTCCCAATCCTTGAGCATTTGGAACTGATACTGGAAGATTGAATTGAGAGAGACTCTGCAAAGTGATAAGAAATTATATAAACTCAGTATCTTTACCTAAGGACAATAGAATATCAAGTAGTACTTGGCCTGAGGAACATTGCTGCGCCTTACATAAGCATAGCATAACAATTTAATCTTCTATATTACCAAAAACAATATGGTAAAGACAGAAAGCTAACTCAAGTGAAATAACAACCAGAAGGTAAAATGTAGCAGCAAAGAGAAGATCCAAGGCAGGCTGAAGTTAATCACGTTAAGATGTATAGTTCTCCAAGATTTCTCAGTTGGGATTTTGGATAAGTTATTGTGACTTGTGAGTAAAGTTGACCACAACTCAGACTAGTAATAACAGCACTAAAGCACACCTTTTCAAGTCCACATTTACATTCGCACAACATAGCAAACAGACATAATATCCTATCAGGAAGTTATAATAGAACACAACAAATAAGCAAAAGCATGCAGGTTAGAATGCAGAAGATTATGAATAGTGTGAAATAGACAGACGGACCTGCATATCATCAACAACAATTCTATTTACACCATGCTCCATGGGGCACATATCCCCTCTCAAGCAAAATCCACGTTCCTCGAAGTCTCTACAACGTTGACGAGGCATGCCAAGATCGATCAAAGGAGATACTGAGGAATGAATAGGGCCTTGCATTCCAAGTGGATGGATTGGATCCAAAATCCCATGAGGCATTCCAGGCATAAATCCATATGGACCACTTGGCAATGCAGTGCCCATAAATAAGCTAGGATGTGCCGGTGGTCCTTGTGAAGCCATCTGGGATGCAAAATCCATCATATCAAGTGAGTTAAATCTTGGATCATGATGAGTCCAAGGTGCACCATTCCGTCCTCTTCCTCGTGTCATAGGAGGGCGAGTAGCAGCAGAAGCCGATGAATCAGCTCGGAAGGATTGGTTTGCTCTAGGTGCTCGAGTGTGACCTCCTACTCCAGAACGTTTTTTGAATTTTGGCACAAAATCCTTCTGTACTTCACCTTGAGAACCAGCTCCACCAAAAGATAGTCCATTACCAGAAACCCTACTCCTTTTTTTGAGAGGTGGCCCTGGATGTTGCTCCTCTGTATTATCATCAGATTGTTGTCTAGCCTCCCGTCTTCGGTGCTTGTGGTTGCGGTCATCATCATCGTCATCGCTAATTTCAATGTCTTCACTATCTGTAGCAGCTTCAGAATTTGTCGAATTATTTTCTTCTTTTGGTGAAGGAACTTCTATTCTGTCAGCATCCAACACTGGTGATGACGACTCTTTGAGCATCTTCAAGGTTACCAATACAGCAGGAAACTTTGCATCTAGATTGTATTTAATGTCATGATCATCTTCAACTCCAATCCAAGTCTTCAAGAAGTGATTCAGTCCTATCGTCGATATATCACTACATGAGGCAGAACACAGAAACAACAATGAGTGACAGAATATAAAGTTGATGGTATGATCAGAATAACAAGTTGTTTGTAATACACCTAATAATGACAATAAACTGATGATAGACCCGGAAAAACAGAAAAATGAAAAGGCCACATGTCACCTTTTTCCCTTTAAAACAGAAACTGAACTGATGGTAGTTTAACTCAGCTTTTCAAACCCCACTTGATATACTAGCAGGATTATACAAACAAAAAAAACATGTCTATGCTTGATTTTCTTATACCACCTCCAGCAACAAAAAGGAATGTACCAGTGGAACTAGTCTTGTTGAACTTCCCTAATTTTGATCAGCATCATACATACAAGTGGTTGGCACCATGAAAAATGGTGAGTAGGTTTCTCTGCCCTCCAATCCAATCATATTATGTAGCTCCTAGAAACATAAAAAATATGGGAAACACAAATACTGGTTCAAGTCACACCCTAAGGGTTTCAATAAGTTAAACATCACAAAATTGTTACCAGATGGTGGATACAGACAAACTCATCAAAGCAAACTGCTATTACTGAAAAGATACCACATCTAAACTATTGAGCAACAACCATAACATTAGCTGGAGTTTTCATACAGATCCACATCCCCTTTCAATACAAATTCAAGTCGATCAGAACAAACAATATAAGCAGGAAAAAATTGTGCATAAAGAGATTTGTTTGGACCCAACTACAATTGCGGGCCAGAGAAACACAGGCACATAGGGTCAAGCAGAATGCCATATCTACACATTCTAAAAGACTAAAAACCAATGTGAAAATGGTGACCAGCAAACCTCAGAAAGACTAAAAACCAATGTGAATTTGGTATGAAAGCATCAAAACATCTACCGATCTACCCAAGTAGGGATGCAAGCAGGTGCGGGCTGACCTGCCAGCCTGCTCGGCCCGCCTGCGAAAACAGCCCTTGTGGACACTGCGGGCTCCTGCTTCAAGTGACGCGGGCCTAAGCAGCTGAGCCTGCAAAGCCCAAGAGACTAGAACGGGCCGCCTGCATCAGCCTGCAACGGCCTGCCAGACCTGCTTCATCCATGGGAAGCACCGGCGCCGCATCCGCCGCAGGAGCGAGCGGACTCGTGCTCGAGCGCCGCATCTGCCACGGTGGCGCTAGGGAAGCACCGGCCGGAGTGGCGACGGCGATCTTGGCATCGCTCCGGTGAGAACCACTCATCTGCAACTTGTTCTCCTTCTCCCTTCCTTCTTGTTCTTCTAATCTTCTTAATCTTCTTGTTTTTTTGGTGAGCACCGCCAGCTGCCATGGCCGCCGCCCTACCTCAAGGAGCTCCGGATCGACGTCTCCAGTCCGCCCCCGTGGCCGATGTTGGCTCCTCCGCGCCCCAACCCCATTCTGCAGCAGGAGGGCAGCACAGCCCGGATCCACCTGACGCCCACACCTTCAGCTCGCCGGCGGCACAGTACTTCACAGGCGTCTGCAGGCGTCCGCAAACCTGCTAGCATTTTGCTACTGAGCCCAGCAGGAGAGTGCAGGCAATTAGTAGACGCCTGCAGGTTGCTGCAGGCCAATCAGTTTTTACATGCAGACGATTAGGCGTCCTGCTGGGTGTCTGCAGACGGGCCCGCTTGCATCTTTATACCCAAGCTCAATGGCTCCTACCATATAATCATAGGAAACAATAAAATGATTTACAGTGCTACGCTGCTCCCGAAGAGGTGTGCAAACAAACAAACTAACCTAGCAAGCATAACATTCCAACAGATAATTGCCCCAGAAATGCTCTTCTCTATTGACCTCAAATGTCCACTCTCTACTCCTGGCAGAATTTCACCAATCAGACCGCTTGACAAATGGAGCTCTTGGTCGAGTCAAGACTCAAGAGGCGATTTTGCGCAGCCCACCCCATGCCCCACAGACCCACAGCCCCGGCAATGAAGAACTGCAGTCCGAGCCTCCCAGCCAACTGCAATTAGCTCTAGATACCCCAAAACCAGAACTAGGCACAAATCACGAGTCACCGCCGCCGCAATCGCATCAGCATACCCACCACACCACAGCCGGTCGCGTCCCACCCTGGCTCCTACTAGTCGCGAATTCCGCATGTAACGCAGGGCAGCGCTCGCGCACGCGGGGCGGGGCCTCCCGCGGGCTGCGGCCTGCTTGCCTGCTGGGCAAGGGAACGGAGGCGCGCGGAACGGAATCGGGGCTTACCAATCGAATCGGGACAGCCGGCCGCGGAGGAGCAGGCGACAGCGTCGAGGCGGGGGGGAGGAGGGCGAGCTCGAGGGGAGTCGCCGTCGGGGAGGTGAGGAGATGAGATGGTTAAATGAGGGGCACTTCGGTAATTGTGGCCTGGGCTTCTCGTGTTGGGAAGCTAGGGTAGGGTTCTTGCGCTTGTTCTCATTTCAGTTTTCTTGTCCAGGTTGTCCCTGTCCTCTCTTCACAGCCCTCTCTGGGCTCTGGCCTGGTCCGGCTGCTGTTTCATCGATTAATCTGAGCTTTAGTTTCGTTTCGATCCGTACGGCTAATCCATTTGCCTAGAACTAATCATCGGCAGGGTGTTCAGCTGATCAGTTTGTGGCTGATTTCGGTGAATTTCGGCTGAGTTAATAGTGTTATGTGAGAGGACAAGCTGAAGCAAGTTGGCAATTAATGTAGGTACGTGTTTAGATTAATTAATAAAGGGTGAATAAACTATGTTTTTAATTCTTTCCACGTGAGAATCGTGAATTTCTAAATTGCATCTTGGGTCAGCTGCTCGACATAAATGTTGTTTTATTATATTTGTTTGATTGTATTTGCTTTAGGTTGACATATCTGCAAAACTCTTTCTATAGCTTTTTGCACACAAAAAAAGCCCATTAGTTTGATTTTGGCATTAAACTCAAAAACCAAGAATGAGTCAACCAACTTTTCGGTGGATGGTTATGTTGACGTGGGGGCAAAAATGACAATTGGTCACATGTCATCATTATCTTCTTCCATCTCCTTCCTTTAACCTTTATCTCTCTCTCCTCACATGACCAAATCTGTCACCGTTACACGATTCACTGGGCACCTATATCATTCTCTATCGGCCGTCGTGATCCTCACGGATTCTTTGGTCACGTTCGACCTCCTCGACTTGGCATTCTTTACTGCAATGTGTGGAACCTCATGAGGCGCTCATGCACGGCATGGAGGCTCGGTTGGTCGCTGTTAAGCCCCTTGGTGATGGAGCCCATGCATTACTGTGAGGCAACAGCTCGCTGCTGCATACAACACCATGCTCGACGTTGATCGTAGACGAAGAGCAGCTCCACACACATGCTGCATCCCCCTACAGACGGGCCCGAGCCTGTTAGCTTAATTCACCGAACAAGATGAGAGGCCAGGGAGGGGAGTAGGTGGGGTTGGCATGCCTTTGTTGTACCAAGCTTGGACCGGTAATGTGGGCTTGGGTGCGAAGGAACTTGAAGCGAGGATGATAGTGTTAGGGTCTATGTCTATCTAATGTGAAAGCCCTAGTTTGGTTTTGGATAATTGATGAAACCCCAGGACTAACCTTTGATCTAAGTGTGTGAATTAGATAAGGTAGTCCAATCCAAGTGGTGGAGCTAGATGATGGTCATGGTGAAGGTGATGGCCACAAAAGAGATGATCAAGTGCTCCATCTTGAAAAAGAATAAAGAGAAAAACAAAACCCAAGGAGATCAAGGCAAATGTATCCAATAGATTTTTGGTTTGGCACTCAAGACACCATAGAGGGTGTGAGTGTGTTTAGGATCGATAGCCGTACTATAAAGATGGGAAATCTTTGGCTAAGAGATTATCGAGTGCCACTAGGTGACATGATTCTTGCATATGCATTAGGGACCTAGTGTGCTAACAATTGACCCTTGAAAAATGCTTTGAAAAACGCTAACACATGAGCACATGAGTTGTACACACTGTGGTTAGCAACTTGGAAGCAAGGGGCGAAGAGGTTGAGGAGATAGAAAAAGAAAAAGAGAGGGTGGTGAGAACCAGACCCTGTTGGCGAAGAGGGTCCAGACCCTAGGGTGAGTCCGGTCCAGACTCATACCCTAGCCTTCGGGCGGCTGCAGGAGAACCATACTTTGCTCGGCAGTGGTTCCGGACCGTCTCTCGTGGGATCGGTTGGACCAAGCAGTGGTGGTCGAGAGCAGCGCTGGGGCGCGGGTGTTCCGGACCCAGGCGACCAGCGAATCTGGACCGAGGCGTGAGGGTCCGGTTATGGCGCGGCTGTGGCACGAGCAAGCGAGGTGGCGATGTGGCGCGCGGTGGTGTTCCAGACCTGCATTGTGTGTGGTCCGGATGGCACAAGCGGACCGGGTCTAGAGTCAAATTGAGTCTCTAGATGCTTACTGGATCCATCCAGACCCTGGGAGCGAGTGGGTCCGACTTGTGTTGGCGTGGGTCCGGTTCAGAGGTGACTCAGAGGAGCAGTTGGCGTTGGGTTTTGACCGTTGAGATCCGACATCTGTGGTTGAACGTAGGGACAGGTGGCGCAATCCCATGAATCGGACCCACCCTATAGATGGTCCAGACCTTGGGTCCGGTCCTAGGGTCCTGTCAGCCCCCGACTGAGCAACGACTCTATTTGTTTGAGGGGATCTATAAATAGAATTGGGGCGCCTTGGGCTCGCTCTCTTGGTTATTTGCATCAGTGATACATCCTTGTAAGCCTAAGCAAACACCTCCCACTCATCTCCATCATTGATTCATCATCATAGTGAGATTGGAAGTGATTCCTAGTGCATTTGCTTGAGTGATTGCATCTAGTGGCACTTGGGGATCATTGTGGCTACGGATTTCTTGTTACTTTTGGTGTTTGCCGCCACCTAGACGGCTTGGAGCAGTGGAGGAGTATTAGAATGAGTTGGTGATTGTTTGTGGCCATCCCCTGGTGATTGTGAGGGGTCTTGTACCTTTCTTGGCGGAGCGTCGAAAGGTAACTCTAGTGGATTGCTCGTGTCATTGAGTTACCTCACTTATGGGTAGGTTCTTGCGGCGTCCATTTGTTGGACTAAGTTTGTGAAACACCTATTAGCCGCCGAACCACCAAGTATTGGTCGACACAACGAGGACTAGCGTGCTGGCAAGCATAGCACGTGAGCCTCAGGAGAAAAATCTTGGTGTCCATTATAATTGGAATTCTCCCGGTGATTGAATTGGCTTTCATATTGTGATTGGTTCATTCCTCGACACGGCAGTATAATCACCCTACTTACTTCTTTACATTCTTTGCAAACTAGTTGTGTAGCAAGCTCTTTAGTGTGGTTTTAAGAGCTTGCTTGCTAGTTTTGTTTCACCTAGTGGAGCTCTTTAGTGTAGCTTGTTTGAGAGCTCTTAGTGAGTAGCAACTTAGCCTTGTTGTGTGCCTAGTGATCATAGCAAATAGAATTGTTTGGATAGGTGGCTTGCAACCCTTGTAGAGCTAGAGCAAAATTGCATTACGCCATTTAGTGTACTAACCACTTGCTCTAGTGAACTTGTAGAGATTTTTATAGGCTATTCACCCCCCTCTAGCCATTTAAGACCTTTCAAGTGGTATTAGAGCCGTGGTCACCGTTTGATTGAAGGCTTAACAACCTTGGTGTCAAAAGATGGCTCAAGTTGTGTTCAACCATGTGGGGGACAAACCACCGTTCTTTGATGACACATGCTGTGATTATTGGAAGAGAAAGATGAAGATGTATCTTGGTTCAATCAATGATCAAGTGTAGGATGTGACCGAGAGTGACTATGTGGTTCTTGATCCCGACAATCCCACCAACCAAGACAAAGCAAACAAGCAATGCAATACTGTCGATGCCATACCCCTGGGTACCCCGACTACCTACTCTAGATCAGAGATGACCTGAAGGCCCACGACGACCCTATTCAAGGAAGGACATCTCCGGATTACGCCAAGATTCCGACTAGGGCACGACTTCTTAGCTTGTAGGGCAAGTTGATCCTAGATATAAATAGCTAGCAATATCTCTGTTGTAATCATCGACTCTTTCATAGGCCTAGCCATATTATAATCGCCATCTCGCCGAATGCATGCAATACAAACAAGTAGAAACTAGATGTACGGCTTTTACTCGCTTCCTAGGGGCCCGAACCAGTGTAAATCTTGTCTCCATCTATGATTGTTCTTAGCACCAAGCAGGGTTCCATGAGAACCAAATATCTACCAGTAAAAACACCAACAGAGGCGCGCTAGGTAGGGGAATCTTGCATGAAGACTAATCATGTCGATCATCAACAAGGTTTGGTACCTAGATCCGGCGCGTTCCGACGCTACTGTGGCACAAT